GTGCTGGGATTACAGGCATGAGCCACCGTGCCTGCCCTAAAACATTCTTAATGAATAGAAACTTAAGGGTACTCAGAGCCAAAATACTCAATGTGTGGAAAACTCAGCCCATAGAACATGTCCTGCTTCAGACGCCAGACTTTGGGAACACTGGATGTGCCTGGATCACTTAGGCAGTGATCAGTGATTTAGGTGAAGTAAAAGTTATTTCAGGCGTTTAAGATTAGGAAAAGTTACCTTTTTTTTTTTTTGAGATGGAGTCTTCCTCAGTCACCCAGGCTAGAGTGTAGTGGTGCAATCTCGATGCACTGCAACCTCGCCTCCCAGGTTCAAGCGATTCTCCTGCCTCAGCCTCCTAAGCAACTGGGACTACAGGCATACACAACCACACCCAGCTAATTTTTTGTGTTTTAGCAGAGAGAGGGTTTCACCTTGTTGGCCAGAATTGTCTTGATCTTCTGACCTTGTGATCCACCCACCTCGGCCTCCCAAAGGGCTGGGATTACAGGCATGAGCCACTGCGCCTGGCCGGAAAATTTCCCTTTTTAATCACAGTAAGCTTTCACCAAATTAAATCTGGAGTTCAAAAAGAACATTAAATAGTTCAATCAGATTTCCCCACGCCTTCACAGCCTGCATGCTGCCTTCCGTCCCTGCTTCCTGGCTGTGGTGAGAGGGGTAACTTGGGAAATGTACTGTCCTTTGGATTTTGTCTTTCCTGTCAACAGTTTTTTTGTTTTGTTTTGTTTTTAAGTTTTGTGTCTTTAGTTTGAGAATACATACTTTATCTGAGGATCTTTTTTTATCACAGAGATGGGTTTTTCTAGACACACTTTTTTTGTGGAATCTTTGACAGTGCAGTTTGTGACTAGGAAGGACTCTTTTTGTGGTTAATTTACTTGGTATGGTATAGTCATCGGACGCTCAATTCTAAGGCATTTTCTGCCACTATTCCATATAGGACATTGGAAACATCTTTATCCTTCAGGTACTTAGGATCAGAAAAGCATGCTACCCATTCCAAGGGGTTAATTTCTGCAGAAATTGTCTTGGCAAGACTCTAATGATATATGTAGTACATCATTAGATGTGTGTGTATGGGGGTAAGTGGGTATGGGTGTGTATGTGTGGACATACACACATATGGTGTATTTTTTTATTATATAAGTAATAAGTACATGTTGGCTATCTAAGATTTAAAAGAACATGGAAGTATATCATGTACAATGTAGAAATTCTCGTTAACTCACTCAACCCCAAATTTGTTTCTTTCTTTTTTTTTTTTTTCTTAACCATTTTGGGATGTGTGTTGTCTTAGTCCATTCTTGCAGCTATTACAAAATGCCTTAGACTAGATAATTTATAAACAAAAGAAACTTACTGCTCACAGTTTTGGAGGCAAGGAAGTCCAAGATCAAGGCGCCAGCAGATATGGTTTCCGGTGCAGGCCCATTCCTCATAGATGGCACCTTCTTTGTAGCCTCTCGTTTGATGGGGCAGACAGGCTCCCTCAGGCCTGTTTTGTAAGGGCATAAATCCTATTCGTGAGAGAGGAGCCCTCATCACCTTATGACCTTCTTTTTTTTTTTTTTGGCGTTGAGACAGAGTCTCGCTCTGTTGCCAGGCACCAGCCTGGAGTGCAGTGGCATGATCTCGGCTCACTGCAACCTCCGCCTCCCGGGTTCAAGCAATTCTCCTGCCTCAGCCTCCCAAGTAGCTGGGACTACAGGCACGCGTCACCACCCCCAACTAATTTTTGTATTTTTTAGTAGAGACGGGGTTTCACTATGTTGGCCCGGATGGTCTCGATCTCCTGACCTTGTGATCTGCCTGCCTTGGCCTCCCAAAGTGCTGGGATTACAGGGGTGAGCCACTGCGCCCAGCACCTTATGACCTTCTAAAGTCCCCAGTTCTTAACATTGCCATAGTGGGGATTATGCTTCATGTTTCAATATGAATTTTGGAGAGACACAAACATTCAGATCATAGCGTATGTGTGTTTATTATGTATATAGATCTTTTTATTTTTTATAAATATGATATTTTTTTCTCCAAATACCATATGCTGTGCCTCCTTCAACTCCAGTGTCCAGGACTACAGCCATTAGTTACATGTGCTGTTAAGTGCTTGCAGTGTGGTTATCTGAATCGAGATGTTCTTAAAGTGTGGACTACACACCAGAGTTTCAGAATTTACTTAATACAGAAAAAAGTGTAAAATATCTCAATTTTTAAAACATTGATTATGTGTTAAGATGGTACTATTTATAATATTTTGAGTTAAATGTGACATTAAAATTCTTTTTTTTTGGACAGAGGCTCGCTCTGTCGCTTAGGCTGGAGTGCAGTGGCGCTGTCTTGGCTCATTGCAACCTCCATCTCTCTAGGTTGGGCTGCCTCAGCCTCCCAAATAGCTGGGATTACAGGCGTCCGCCACCACACCCAGCTAATTTTTGTATTTTTAGTAGAGACGGCGCTTCACCATGTTGGCCATGCTAGGCTCGGACTCCTGACCTTAAATCATCTACCTGCCTTGGCCTCCTAAAGTGCTGGGATTAAAGACATGAGCCACCACACCTGGCCAAAATTCCTATTTTTTAACATGATCACTAGAACATTTTATATTTGTGGCTCACATTATATTTCATTAGACAGTCCTGTGCTAGAACTTTCTTTTAAAACAGAAATCTAAAAGAAGTTCCTCAAAATCTTAAATCGTAAAACTTTACAGTTCTAAAGATCTAAAGTTTGATCTTTATTAATGTAGAAACCTAAACTGTATAAATATAACTGTAGCCCATAAAAATACTTTGTTTGACATATTAGGATGTGACAGCCAATTTATTAAAAGACTTCTTTCTCTTAATACATCCCTTCCTTTTCTTTGCCTGAATTTTTTGGAAAAAAAATGAATATTTGTAAGAAGATGGGAAAAAGCTTGGCAAGGCTCTGATGATGTACTGTATATAGTACATCATTAGATGTGTGTGTGTGGGCAGTATGGGCATGATGCAGTGTGGACGTACTTGAACCTCTGTGGCCCGGGAACTGTCTTTCTACTAATAATTTTATCTGGTCTTGGTATTAGGGTGATGCTAGCCTCATAGAATGAGTTAGCAAGTATTCCCTGTCTTTCTGTCCTCTGAAAGAGATTGTAGAGAATTGGTATATCTTCCTTAAATGTTTGGTAGGATTTATCAGTGAACTCATCTGGGCCTGATGCTTTTTGTTTCAGAACGGTGTTAATTTTGATTCAAAATTTTTAAGTAGATGTAGGTCTATTTAGATTGTCTATTTTTTCTTGTGTGAGTTTTGGCAAATCGCCTTTCAAAGAATTGGTCCATTTTATCTAGGTTATCAAATTTATGGACATAGAGTTAATAACGTTTCTTCATCATCCTTTTAATGTCCATGGGATCTGTAGTGATGGTCCCCTGTTTCATTTCTGATATTAATTTTGTCTTTTTTTTTTTTTTTTTTTTTTTTTTAGCCTGGTTAGAAGATCATTATTTTATTGATCATTTCAAAGAACAAGCTTTCGGTTTCTTTGATTTTTCTCTGTTGATTTCATGTTTTTAGTTTCATTGATTTCTCTAATCCTTATTATTTATTTTCTTCTTACTTTGGATTCAATTGGCTCTTTTTTCTACTTTTATAAGGTGCAAACTTAGATTATTGATTTTAGTTCTTGGAGGTCCAGTGATGCAACTGGTTAGGACACAGTACTTATATGACTTTAGTTCTTTCTTTTCTAATAATGCATTCTAAGCTATATTTCCCCCTAAACCCTGCTTTTGCTGCATCCCACAACTTTTGATGAGTGTGTTTTTATTTTGATTTAGTTTGAATTCGTTTTAAATCTCTCTTGATTTCTTTTTTGATCTTTGTGTTATTTAGAAGTGTGTTGTTTAATCTCCACATATTTGGGGATTTTCCCATTATCTTCCTGTTACTGCTTTCTTAGCTTAATTCCATTGTGATCTGAGAGCAATACTGTTTGATTTCTATTCTTTTAAATTTGCTAAGGTGTGTTTTATGGTTCAGAATGTGGTCTATTTTGATGAATGTTTCATGTGAGCTTCAGATAAATAGTATTCTCTTGTTGCTGGAAGAAGCATTCCATAGATGTCAACTAGTTGGTAGATCAAGTTGTTGAGTTTGACTGTGTCCCTGCTGATTTTCTGACTCCTGCATCTATCAGTTTCTGATAGGGGGTGTTTAGGTCTCCAGCTGTAAAAGTGGGTTTATATGTCTCTCCTTGAAGTTCTGTTGGTTTTTGCCTCACATAGTTTGATGTTCTGTTAGGCACGTACACATCATTATGTGATGCCCCTTCCTTTTCTCTAATAATGTTCTTTGCTTTGAAGTCTGTGCTATACACTGAAATTAATATAGCCACTCTTGCTCTCTTTTGGTTAGTGTCAGCATATTTTTTTTCCTATCCACTTACTTTTAATGTATATATATCTTTATTGTTAAAGTGGGTTTCTTGTAGATGATATGTAGTGGAGTATTGATTTTTGTTTTGTTGATTCAGTCTGAGAATCTCTTTTAATTGGTGCTTTTAGACCATTGGCATATGAAGTGATTACTGATAAAGTTGGATTAATAAATACCACACCTGTTACTGTTTTCTTTTCCTTTTTTTGAGACAGAGTTTCACTCTTTTCACCCAGACTAGAGTGTAATGGCGCGATCTCAGCTAACTGCAGCATCCGCCTCCTGGGTTCAAAGTGATTCTTCCCAGTCAGCCTCCCAGGTAGCTGGGATTACAGGTGCCCGCCGCCACACCCAGCTAATTAGAGATGGGGTTTCACCATGTTGGCTAGGCTGGTCTCGAACTCTTGACCTCATGGTATCTGCCCACCTTGGCTTCCCAAAGTGCTAGGATTACAGGCATGAGCCACTGCGCAGAGTGATTGTATCTTAAGTCTATAAAAATATATAATTATCATCATAAAGCATGTATTCATTTACAGAAAACTTCCAGTGACCTTGACCTTCCTATAGAAATATAAACTATTCCATTTGCCTTTCAGCACAAGGTCAGGCAAAAATACTTAAGCTTGTTGCTGGTATTACCACATATTTATTAGCAATTCCCAGTATTGATGATGACAGTAAACCTCTCAGAGTAAATATCTAGTTTGGTAATTCAGAATTAATGTTGTAAGATCTCTAGCTGGTAATTTGATATTACTAATAAAGTATTAAATGTAAATGATAAACTTTTTTTGTTGTTTTTAATAAATTTTTCTTTTTTTTTTTTTTTTTTTTTTTTTAAGATGGGGTTTCACCCTATTGGTCAGTCTGGTCTTAAACTCCCGACCTCAGGTGATCCACCTGCCTTGGCCTCCAAAGTGCTTGGATTACAGGCATGAGCCACAACTCCCGGCCAGTAAATGATAAACTTTTAACAAATTACAGAGGGTTTCAAATTTAATTGCATCACTTAAAACTTTCTTCAGTGAGAGAAATGGGTAGAGTTGGGGTTCTCGGCAGTGTGGGGGGCATTACTCCTAGCGGCAGTGACTCATGGGGGTGGTTCAACATGAGCACAGAATTAGAAAGATGAAACAGAACGAGGCCTCAAAATGAGAGCTCCTGTGAGGTTATAGTTTAGTGAAATGGAATTCCTTGGCTTCACCAGTCAGCAGTAATGATCTGGGGCAGGTGACTCAGGATTGCTGGCTCACTTGTATGTCATAGGGAGGACAAAGATGAGTAAGTTTGCTCAACATAGACAAGGCAAAATGGCATTGTTGGGTTTGTTTTTTTTTTTTTTTTTAAATTCACTAGCATTAAATATCTCTTTTATTGCTCTCTCTGCTGGGTGCTTTTCTTGTTGACATATTCTGAATTCGTTGCATATTCTGGGAAGTGGTCCAGTGAGACTCAATTTTTGGCATCATCTTATTTGTTGACATTGCTGAGTGTTGTCCAACTATAAGGCCACGTTGCTATAACTAGGTCTCAGTCAAGAATGGAAACTTCAAAAATTCACTAGTATAATTCTGGAGGCAATTTAACATTTTTGTGAGGTACTTTCTTAAACTAGCCAGTGTCTACAATTCATAAGATTTTCAGGTACACAGATCTTTATGAGAGATCACAGCATAATCATTAACCCAGACTTGCCTAGGTTAAAATTTTGTCCCTACTATTTGTTAGGTACATATCCTCAGGCAAGTTACCTGACCACTCTCCCACATCTCCCGTAAAAAGGGTGTAATAATGGTAATATTAGTGTTAGTGCTTATCTCCCAAAGTTACTTGTGAGGATTCAGAGCTAGCACATTTGAAGTGTTAGAATACGACATGTGGAGTCGCAAGTGCTCCGTGTCTTCACTGTAAAAGATACTCTGACTGAGTGAGAAAACAAACAAGGGAGCAAAGAAAATGGACATAGTCATCTAAGCGAAGATGCCCTTAACTACTTTTATGTTCCGTTATATAGCTTCTTAACTGTTGGCACAATATTATTCCGGGACATGGTTTGTGCCTTCTTAGGGCTCAGGATTTTTCAGTTCCAACCCACTACTCCTCATGAAGTTCAGAGACTTCTTTCCTTGAGGTCTGTTTCCTTTCCAGCCTCATTTCTCCTACTTAAGCTCTACGTGTTCTCTATCCTCCAGACAAATTGTACCAAACTGTACTACTCTCTGTTTTCTGAACACAACAAATTGTAGAATTTCACACTCTCTAAATCTTTTGTAAATCAACTATTTTACAACAAAAAGAGCCAACTGTGATGGTGCTAGCCTGCAGTCCCAGCTACTCAGGAGTCTTGAGACAGGAGGATTGCTTGAGCCCAGGAGTTTGAGGTTATAGTGAGCTATGATCATCCCATTGCATTTTGGCCTGGGCAACAGAGACCACCTCTAAAACAAAACAAAACAAAACAAAAAGAGATACCTTAATTATGCAGCTAAGTAAAATAGCCATATTTGGGAAAGGTAAAGTGTGGAAAAATGCCTTTTTTTTTTTTTGAGCCCAAGTCTCACTCTGTCACCCTGGCTGGAGTACAGTGGCATGATCTGAGCTCACTACATCCTTCACCTCCCAGGTTCAAGCAATTCTTCTGCCTCAGCTTCCCAAGTGGCTGGAATTACAGACAAGCACCACCATGCCTGGCTAATTTTTGTAGTTTTGGTAGAGACAGGCTTTCACCATGTTGCCCAGGCTGGTCTTGAACTCCTGACCTCAAATTATCTGCCCACCTCGACCACCTAAAGTTCTGGCATTACAGGCATGACTTTTTAATACCTCTGGTATATGATGGCAGTGAGACAAATTAGAAACTAGTTTATTCATTGTATGAATGAATTTCCCAGAGGTTTTTTAAAGATCTAAATACAAGCATTGCTTTTTTTTTTGTTTTGAGACAGTCTCACTCTGTGGTCCAGACTGGGTGCAGTAGTGCGATCTTGGCTCACTACAACCTCTGCCACCTGGGTTCAAGCGATTCTCCTGCCTCAGCCTCCCGAGCAGCTGGGATTCCAGGTGCCTGCCACCGCTCCCAGCTAATTTTTGTAGTTTTAATGGAGATGGGGTTTCACCATGTTGGCCAGGCTGGTCTTGAACTCCTGACCTCGTGATCCACCCACCTTGGCCTCCCAAAGTGCTGGGATTACAAGCGTGAGCCACTGTGCCCAGCAAGCATTGCTTTTAACAGTACCATATTGCACAAGAGTAACTTCAGGGAATGAATGTTCCATAAGTTCCAAAAACTAATTGCAATGTTACATCTATATCCAAAATTATTAAACTTATCAGGCAATAAGTAGAGTATTCCTTATTAATTAGATCCAAGATTCCTTGAATCCTTTATGGGATCTTCAAAGAGGGCCAGTGTCAGTCATAGGTAATCAAAAGCATTGGCTCCCACTGCTTCTACCTCTACCAGTTGCCACTGGCAGATACATAAATGGCGGTCATGTTCTCATCCTTTCAAGGACTTGAGAGACTATAGTCCCAGTGTGTAGGTTATATATGCCTTTTTCTTCTCTGGCATACACAGTTGTCACTGCTTCCACCTGCAGGGGCTCAGATATACTCTGTACCTCTTCTTCTTCGTCTACCTTTGTCCATAGGAATGGTGACAAGTGAGGGCACAGGAAATGTATTTTCTAGACATAATGCTGGGCTCTTCACATGCCATCTCATTAATCGTAACCATCTCCCGAGGTAGGTGATGACACCCTGTTTCATAGAAAAAACAGAAATTTCTCTCATCTTGGTCCGAATCCTGCTTTGTGTTGCCATCTACTCCTGAAGTCCTGGCCTGCTAGAGGCATGCTGGAGGATGTTTCCAGCATGGAAAGTGGGCTACCCAGCTGCCTGGAGCTGCTAGTGTACCTGGTAGGCACAACCAAATTAAAGTTTTTTGGCATCATAAGGACCTGCTTGGAGATTTCACTGTTGGTTCTTCCCTAGATTCTTCCCTAGATTGAACAGTGGCGAGGAGCAAGAAGGTTCCAGATCACATTCAAGCACCATCATGGTTACTACTCCAGTGTTACATACCTGTGGATTAGAAATGGATTACAATTCAAGCAAAATCTACCTTGGCTGAAATCTTTTTTTAAAATTTGGGTTTTTTGTGCAATACCACTTTATTTGTTTTTAATTGACACCTAGTAACTGTACACACTTAACGGGGTTCAGTGCGACATTTTGATACATTTATACATTATGTAATGATCAAATTAGAATATTTAGCACATCTATCAATATTTACCCACCTTATTATCTTTGTGGTAAAAACATTTAAAATCCTCTCTTCCAGCTATTTTGAAATATGTGTTTCATAATATATATATTATATATATATTTCATAATACTTGAAATATATATAAGTATATATATGAATATTTCAAAGTAGCTGGAAGAGAGGATTTTATATATATATATATATAAAATATATATATATAAGTGTTTTTTGAGATAGGGACTCATTTTGTTGTTCAGGCTGATTTGCAGTGGCACGATCATGGCTCACTCACAGCAGCCTTAACCTCCTGGGCTCATGTGATCCTCCTGCCCTAGCCTCTTAAGTAGTTAGGACTGCAGGCACATGCCACCATACTTAGCTAGTTTTTAAATTGTTTATAGAGATCTGGTCTCACCATGTTGCCCAGGCTCATCTCAAACTCCTGGGCTCAAGTAATCTGCCTGCCCCAGCCTCCCACACTGCTAGAATTGCAGGCATGGCCCACCATACCCTGTCTGAAATATTAAATATTATTAACCATAGTCATTCTCCTGTGTAATAAAACACCAAGACTTATTTCCCTATTGAACTGTTGTTCAGTTTCTCCGCATGCCCCCTCTTCTCTACCCTCCAAGGCCTCTGGTAGGTACTACTATTCTACTCTATGCTTCTGTGAGATTAACTTTTTTAGATTCCACATATGAGTGAGAACATACAGTATTTGTCTTTTTGTACATGGCTTAATATCCTTCAGTTTCATTGTTTTGCCAGAAAAGACAGGATTTTTTTTTTAATGGCTAAATAGTACTACATTGTATATATATTCCACATTTTCTTTCTCCTTTCATTGATTGATGGCCATTTAGGTTGATTCTGTATCTTGACTATTGTGAATAGTGCTGCAATAAGCATGGGATTGCAGATATCTCTTTGAAATCCTCATTTCATTTCCTTTGGATAAATACCCAGTAGTGGGATTGCTGGATCATATGGTAGTTGTATTTTTAATGTTTTAAGGAACCTTTGTACTGTTTTCCAAAATGGCTGTACTATATTCCACCAGCCATGTACAAGAGTTCCCCTTTCTCCATATTCATGCAAGCATTTATTTTTTGTGTTTTTGATAATAGTCATTCTAATTAGGGTGTGGTGATATCTCAGTGTGGTATTGGTTTGCATTATTCCGCTGATTAGTGATATTGACCATTTTCTCTTACATCTGTTGGCTTTTTGTATGTCTTTTAAGAAATAGCTATTCAGGTCTTTTGCCTATTTTTTAATTGGATTATTTGTGTTTTCTGCCATTGAATTTTGTTTGAGTTTCTTACATATAGATATTACCCCTCTGTCAAATGGATAGTTTGCAGATATTTTCTTCCATTCTGTAGATTATCTCTTCAGTCTGTTGATCGCTTCCTTTGCTATGCAGAAGCTTTTTAGTTTGATATAATCCCATTTGTCTGTTTTTGCTTGTGAGGTCTTATACAAAAGTCCCTTCCCTTGCCCAGACCAATGTCCTAAAGTGTTTTCTCTGTCTTTTCTTCTAGTACTTAATATTTGTTTGAGATCCTTATATTTAAGTCTTTAGTCCCCCTGGTAAGAGATAAGGGTCTAGTTTCATTCTTAGATATCTAGATATCCAGTGTTCCCAACATCATTTATCAAAGAGACTGGTCTTCGCCAGTGTATATTCTTGGGGTCTTTCTCAAAAATAAATTGGCTGTAAATATGTGGATTTATTTCCATGCTCTCTTTTCTGTTTTATTGGTCTTTATATCTTTTTTTATAACAGTAGCATGCTGTTTTGATTACTATAGCTTTGCAGTATATTTTGAGGTCAGGCAGTGTGATGCCCCAGCTTGGTTCTTTTTGCTCAAAACTGCTTTGGTTTTTGGGGTCTTTTATGATTCCATACAAATTTTGGGATTATTTCTTCTGTTTCTATGAAGAAGGTCATTGCTATTTTCATTGGATTGCATTGAATCTGTAGATCACTTTATGTAGTATGGACATTTTAACAGTATCAATTTTAATCCATGAACATAGGCTATCTTTCCATTTATTTATATCCTCTTCAATTTTTTCCATTAATGTTTTATAATTTTCATTATAGAGATGTTTCACCTCCTTGGTTAAATTTATTCCTAGGCAGTTTTTTTAAATGGAATTGCTTTCTTGATTTTTTTTTTCAGATAGTTTACTAATGTTGTATAAAAATGCTACTGATTTTTATTTGTTGATTTTGTATCCTGCAACTTTACTGAATTTGTTTATTAGTTTAATAGTTTTTTGGTAGAGTCTATAGGGTTTTTCTATATGTATAAGATTATGTCTTCTGTAAACAGAGACAATTTGATTTCCTCCTTTCCAATTTTAATACCCTTTCTCTTTCTCTTGCCTAATTGCTCTAGCTAGGACTTAAAGTATTAGGCTGAATAAAAGTATTGAAAGTGGTCATCCTTGTCTTGTTCCAGATCTTAAGAGGAAAAGCTTTCAACTTTTTCATGGTCAGTATGATGTTAACTATGGGTTTGTCATATGTGGCTTTGTGTTGAGGCACAATTTCTTCCATACCTAATTTGTTGAGAGTTTTTATCATGAAGGTAGATAGGTTGGTTGGTTGGTTGATTGAGTGATTGAGACAGAGTCTTGCTGTCACCCAGGCTGGAGTTCAGTGGCACAATCTCAGCTCACTGCAACCTCCACCTCCTGGGTTCAAGCGATTCTCATGCCTTGGCCACCCAAGTGGCTGGGATTGCAGGTGTGCACCACCACACCCAGCTAATTTTTGTATTTTTAGTAGAGATGGGGTTTCACCATGTTGGCCAAACTGGTATCGAACAACTAACCTCAAGTGATTCACCCACCTTGGCCTCCCAAAGTGCTGAGATTACAGGCGTGAGCCACCATGCCTGGCCGGTATGTTGAATTTTATCAAATTTTTTTCTGCATCTGTTGAAATGATCGTATGGTTCTTGTCCTTGATCCTGTTGATGGGATAGATCATGTTTATTGATTTGCCTGTGTTGAACCATCCTTTCATCCCTTGGATGAATCCCACTTGGTTATGGTAAATGATGTTTTTAATGTATTGTTGAATTCCGTTTGCTATTATTTCATTGAGGGTTTTTGCATCTGTTCATCAAGAATATTGGTCTGTGGTTTTCTTTTTTGTTGTGTCCTTGGCTGGTTTTAGTATCTGGGTAATGCTGGCCTTATAGAATGATTTTGGAAGATTTCTCTCTTCAATTTTTTATATAGTGTGAGAAGAATTAGTATTATTTAAATATTTGGTAGAATTCAGCCATGAAGCCATCAGGTCTTGGGCTTTTCTTCAATGGGAGGCTTTTTATTACTGATGCAATCTCATTCTTTACTGGTCAGTTTAGGTTTTCTGTTTCTTCATGGTTCAGCTTTGATAGTTTGTATATGTTCAGGAATTTAGCCATTTCCTCTAGGCTTTCCAATTTGTTGGCATACGGTTGTTTATAATAGTCTCTTATGATACTTTGTATTTTTGTGGTATTAGTAGTAATGTCTCCTTTTTTATCTCTGATTTGGTCTCTTTTTTTTTCTTAGTCTGCTATAGATTTGTTGATTTTGTTTAGTCACTTTATTTCTGTTCTTCTGGTCTTTATTATTTTCTTTGTTCTGCTGTTTTGGGGTTTAGTTTATTGTTTTCTAGTACCTTGAGATACATCAGGTTATTTGAGATCTTTCTACTTTTTTTCTTTTTGAGACAGAGTTTCACTCTGACCTCTAGGCTAGATTGCAGTGGCACAGTCTTGGCTCACTGTAACCTCTGCCCCCTGGGTTCAAGCGATTCTTATGCCTCAGCCTCCCGAATAGCTGGGATTACAGGTGTGCGCCATCACACCTGGCTAATTTTGGTATTTTTAGTAGAGACCACCTTTGGCCATGTTAGCCAGGGTGGTCTTGAACTCTTGGCCTCAAGTGATCTGCCTGCCTCAGCCTCCCAAAGTGCTGGGATTATAGGCATGAGCCACTGCACCTGGCAGTCTTTCTACTTTTTTGATGTTTATTGCTGTAAACTTTACTCTTAGAACTTCTTTTGCCATATCCATAGGTTTGGGTATGTTGTGTTTCCATTTTCGTTTTTCTGAAGAAATTTTTTAATTTTTTAATTGCCCTGTTCAGGAGCATGTGTAGTTTTCAAAGTTCCTGCTGTTACTGAATTCTAGTTTTATTCCGTTGTGGTCAGGAAAGATACTTGATATTACTTTGATTTTTTTTTTGAGATAGAGTTTTGCTCTTGTTGCCCAGGCTGGAGTGCAATGGTGCAGTTTCCGCTCACTGCAGCCTCCACCTCCTGAGTTCAAGTGATTCTCTGCCTCAGCCTCCTGAGTATCTGGGATTACAGGTGCCTGCCACCACACCTGGCTCATTTTTATATTTTTAGTAGAGACGGAGTTTCACCATGTTGGGCAAGCTGGTCTCAAACTCCTGTCCTCGGATGATCCTCCTGCCTCAGCCTCCCAGAGTGCTTGGATTACAGGTGGGAGTCCCCTGCCTGGCATGATTTTGATTTTTTTCTTTTTTAAATTTGTTGAGACTTGTTTTGTGGCCTAACATATGGTCCATTGTGGAGAGTGTTCCATATGCTGATGAGAAGAATGTGTATTCTGTGGCTGTTGGAGGGAATGTTCTGTAAATGTGTGTAAGGTACTTTTGGCCTAGAGTGCAGTTTAAATCCAATGTTTCCTTACTGATTTTCTGTCTGGCTGATCTGTCCATTGCTGAAAGTGGGATGTACTATTCTCCTACTATTATTGTATTGCAGTCTGTGTCTTCCTTTAGGTCTAATAGTATTTGCTTTATATATTTGTGTGCGGTATAATATTGGGTGCATAGACATTTAAAATCGTTGCATCTCTTACTGAATTGACCCCTTTGACCTTTGTTTCTTTTTTATGGTTTTTGACGTAAAGCCTATTTTATCAAAATGCAGCTACTCCTCTTCCTTTTTTGGTTTTAATTTGCATGGAATATCATTTCTCATCCCTTCACTTTCAGTCTTAGTATGTCCTTTCAGGTGAAGTGAGTCTCTTGTGGGCAACACAGAGTTGGATTTTGTTTATTGTTTTTTCATCTGTTTAGTCACTATATCTTTTCATTGAAGAATTTAATCTATTTACATTGAAGGGTATTACTGATAGATAAGGACTTACTCCTGCCATTTTGTTAATTGTTTTCTGTTTGCTTTGCATATTCTTTATTCCTTTCTTTCTCTCTTATTGTTTACCTTTGTGGTTTGGTGATTTTTCTAGTGATAAGGTTTGATTTATTTCTCTTTCTCATTTGCGTATCTGCTGTAGTTACTTTTTTGTGGTTACTGTGGGTTTACATTAAACATCTTATAGTTATGATAGAGTGTTTTAAGCTGTGATAATAACCTTGATCTCATAAAATATTTTTGACTTTTACCCTTCCCCCACAACTTATAATTTTGTTGATTAATTTATATCTTTTTATGTTATGTGGTCCTTAACAACTTTTAGCTATAGTTACCATTAACCATTTTTTAGTTTTAACCTTAATAATGGAGATTTGCAAGATTATATTCCACAGTTATAGCAATGGAGTTTTCTGAATTTGGTAATTAATTTACCTCTATTGGTGAGATTATATTTTCATATGTTTTCATGATAGTAATTATACTTTTGCTTTCAGTCGAAGCAACCCCCATAAGAATTTCTTGTAAGGCTAGTCTAGTGGTAATAAATTCTTGCAGCTTTTGCTTGTCTGGGAAACACTTCATTTTTCTTTCATTTCTGAAAGATAGCTTTGCTAGTAGTTTTTATCTTTCAGCACTTTGAATATATTATCCCATTCTCTACAGGCCATTTCTTTCTTGGCATGTACAGGTTTTCTGAGAAATCTGTTGATAGAAACCTGCTGGGTTCTCTTACACGTGACTTGATCCTTTTCTCTTACTGCTTTTAGAATTCTCTATGTCTGACTTTGAATGGCTTTATTATAATGTACCTTGGAGAGAGGACCTCTTTGCATTGAGTGTGTTTAGTGTCCTGTTAGTTTCATGGATTTGATACCCATATTAAAATCATATTACTATGACTGATATTTGACTGTGGTCCTAGATTGTCTCAAATAGGTAACAGTTCATGAGATTTTATTAAGATTATTATATGCAACTGTATACTGATGTACATAATATCAAATGCTTTATTATAAAATTTTAAATTAAAATAAGCATAGTTGTGAGCTACAGTATAGCAATGTGCTTTTTTCTTTTTCACTCATCTTTTAGCATCATTGGGTTTTCTTAACCTGAATATAGGATTTTAATTCGTACATTATTTTTATGTAAGGAAAATAAATTTTTACTGTTTGTTTGTTTTTCATTTCTCTTCCCTACCTAGAAACAATGGAAAGAACTTTCTAAGGAAGACTTATCTCCTGCTTTTGATCATTCACCAAACAAAATAACAACTGAAAAATACAATGGAAACAGAATAGGTCTAGAAGAAGAAAAACTGACAGGTGACCGATGTACAGGACTTTCCTCTAAAATGCAAGATACAATGGAGGAGAACAGTGAGAGGTAAGCTTTCTATAAATACATGCTGAAAGATGAGGCTTTTTTATTTTAAAAATAAATTTTATGGGGCCAGGTGCCATAGGATTTCAGGTATGTAATTTTTATGTTAGGAGAATACGATCACACCTGTAATCCCAACACTTTGGGAGGCTGTGACGGGAAGATCACTTGAGTCTAGGAGTTTGAGACCAGCCTGGGCAACATGGTAAGACCTTATCTCTACAAAAAAAATAAACAAAGCTAGGCAGGTGTGATGATGCAAGTCTGAGGTTCCAGCCACTCCAGAGACTGAAGTGGAAGGATTGCTTGAGCTGGGGAGGTCAAGGCTGCAGTAAGCTGAGATAGCACCACTGCACTCCCACCTAGGTGACAAAGCAAGACCCTGTCTCAAAAATAATTAATAAATAAATTATGTGGATATGAAATAATATAGGCCCTTAATTTATTGAATTAATGTAACCTTTTTTTTTCTCTGTCACCCATGCTGGAGTGCAGTGGCACAATCTCAGCTCACTGCTCCACCTCCTGGGTTCAAGTTATTCTCCTTTCTCAGCCTCCTGAGTAGCTGGGAATACAGGCATGTGCCACCACACTTGGCTAATTTTTGTATTTCTAGTAGAGATAGGATTTCGCCATGTTGGCCAAGCTGGTCTTGAACTCCTGACCTCAGGTGATGCACCCACCTTGGCCTCCCAAAGTGCTGGGATTACAGGCGTGAGCCACCATGCCTGGCCAAATTAATATAACCTTTATTTCTTACCTGAGGGTATTTAGGTAGTATATGATGAATGATGACACAGGTGTTCTCAAGGAGCTTTCAGTTGTATAAAAAGCCTATACTTAGAACTAGTTCGAAAATCCTTTAAAATAATCATGATTGAGTGCAAAAGTTAATCCAAGTAGGTGCTAAAATATATGTATGGTACAGAAAATAAGTAGTATGAATACCTGCCATTTGTACAGATACAGAGTTTTTGTAATATAGTTATAATGTAACCAATAATATGCCTTTAATAAAACATTTAAATATGTAAGCTTAATTCCATTACTAGAGGAAGAAAAAGGCGTTTTTTAAAAATCCATATGAATGTGCCATCTATTCAGAATTTTAAGTTACAACTACATTTTTAGGACTGTCTCTCACACATTACGAAGCTGGTAACCTGATATGAGTCACTTAGCAAAGTGAATGAGCTTTTTGTTTCCTCTCTCCTTCATCTCTGAATAACTTTTCTTCTTTTCTTTTTGCAAAACATACTTATTGTGGGGAATTTCATCTTGTGGTTATATTTGTTAGATTGGAGTGAAAATAGTTACGGTCTGCCATACATTATAGCTTCACTGCTCTATTTTCCTAATATAAAAATTAAATACCTGAAATTTTATAAATACTAACATATTCCAATATATATTACATGTGATATTATAGTGGAAGAGTTTGTTATGACTTAGCAATGTTATTCCTAATTTTTGACCTCAGTAGTTTTATTTTTTATTTATTTATTTTGAGACAGATTTTCACTCTTGTTGCCCATGCTGGAGTGCAATGGAGCGATATCAGCTCACCGCAGCCTCCGCCTCCTAGGTTCAAGCCATTCCCCTGCCTGAGCCTCCTGAGTTCCTGGGATCACAGGCATGCACCACCACACCCAACTAATTTTTTGTATTTTTTAGTAGAGACGGTTTCGCCATGTTAGTCAGGCTGGTCTCGAACTCCCGACCTAAGGTGATCTGCCTGCCTCGGCCTCCCAAAGTGCTGGGATTAAAGGCATGAGCCACTGCGCCCAACCCAGTAGTTTTAGACTACAAGAGAAAGCATAATGTTTTTTCTGGTTCCTTTTTTCATCTTAAATAGAATACCTTTAAATCAAGAAATAATGGTTTTAAATTACCTTAGCCTTTTCAGCATTTAGACTTTTAGATTCTTAGTGTTATTGTCTTTTCCCCCCTTTTATCTAGTACTATCTGCAGAATTAAATGAAAAATGGCTTGATGACTGAAATGGTATTCTTAGTATTTCACAAGTGTTGAGTTTGAATCCATGAAGATTCAGACCAACCATATTAACAGTCTCAATGACTTAAATCACTCATCCAAGCTTGGCAATACAGAGGAAACTAGTAGAACCACCCAGGAGTTATAGAATGATTGCAAAAGGCTATTTTATGGGATCTGTGTGTGTGCGTGTGTGTTTGTGCCTGTACATGTTGTACATGTTTTCGCATGTGGTGGTGGTGGTGGTTTCTTCTTTCTCTTTTTTCATTTTCTGTCTGATGAGACCGGTGCATATTTGAAAGCAGAGGAGTCCCAACAGAAAAGTCAGGATTCTAAGCTGAGAAGACTGATTGTAAGAACAAGGTTACAAAAATAGAGAAGAGGAGGCCGGGCGCAGTGGCTCACACCTGTAACCTCAGCACTTTGAGAAGCCAAGGCATGTGGATCGCTTGAGGTCAGGAGTTAGAGACGAGGCTGGCCAACATGGCAAAACACTGTCTCTGCTGAAAGTACAAAAATTAGCTGGGCATGCTGGCGCATGCCTGTTTTCCCAACTACTTGGGAGGCTGAGGTGGGAGAATCACTTGAACCCAGGGGGTTGGAGTGAGCCGAGATCACACCACTACACTCCAGTCTGGGCAAAAGAGCAAGACTCTGTTTCAAAAAAAAAAAGAAAGAAATGTAAAAGAGGAGCATAGGATCGGGGGTGTGAAATAAATGTTACTCTGAACAGTTTTATCCGTCAGTCCCAGTAATTTTAGTACCTGTAGAAAACATTGCATTAAAGATCCTAACAAAATAGTCTTATCGAAAGAATTTCAACTGTCAAAAGAAATAGAACACAGTACTTTCTTGTATTCATTTTCATTGTTGAATATACTCCAAAGCAGTGTTTTTCAAATTGAAGGTTGAATCCCATAGTTGTTAAGTTGATTGGATTATAAACATTTTTTAAAGAAGAAAATAGAGTAAAAGAGAAATTATCCGCATATCACAAATAGTAACTGAATTTAACAGATGCTGGCAAGGTTGTAGAGAAAAAGAAATGCTTATACACTGTTTGTGGGAGTTTAAATTAGTTCAACTGTTGTGGAAGACATCGTGGGGATTCCTCAAAGAACTAAAAACAAATACCATTCAACCCAGCAGTCTCATTACTGGGTATATACCAAAAAGAATATAAATTATTGTACTGTAAAAACACATGCACTCATATGTTCACTGCAGCACTGTTCACCATAGCAAAGACATGGAATCAACCTAAATGTCCACCAGTGACAGACCTCATAAAGAAAATGTGGTACATATACACTTTGGAATACTATGAAGCCATAATAAAGAATGAGATCATGTCCTTTGTAGGGACTTGGATGGAGCTGGAGGCCATTAATCCTTAGCAAACTAATGCAGGAACAGAAAACCTAATACCACATGTTTTCACTTAGAAGTGAGAGGTAAATGATGAGAACACATGGACACAGACAGGGGAACAACACATGCTAGGGCCTATCAGAGGATGGAGGGTGGGAGGAGGGGGACAGTCAGGAAAAATAACTAATGGATACTGGGCTTAATACCTGGGTGATGAAATAATATGTGCAACAAACCCCCATGACACAAGTTTCAAACTTATGTAACAAGCCTGCACATGTACGTACCCCTAAACTTAAAGTAAAAAAAGAATTTTCAACCTGCTTTTATGTATGTATGTGTGATGTATAAATTCCATATATTTACATATACATTGTATACATAATGTCAGTGTGTGTGTGAGATTGCTCTCGTGATGCTATTTCTTACTCTAGGTTACAGTCTGAGTTTGAAAAGCCAATATTCTCAATTATATATAGCACAA